CTGGATGGAGCTGGAGCCCATTCTACTAAGTGAAATATCACAAGAATGAAAAAACAGGCACCACATGTACTCACCATCAAATTGGTACTAATTAATCAACACTGATGTGCACATATGGTAGTTACATTCATCGGGTGTTGATCTGGTGGGAGGGGGAGGAGGGCATGGGTATATTCACACCTAATGGGTGCTGTGTGCACTCTCTTGGATGGTCACACTTGTAGCTCTGACTGGGGTGGGCAAAGGCAAAATATGTAACCTAAACATTTGTACCCCTGTAATATTCTGAAATTAAAAAAAAAAAGAAATTGAAGAGGACACAAAAAATAGAAAGATGTTCCATATTTATGAATTGGGAAAATCAATATTGTTAAAATATCCATACTACCCAATGCAATCTACAGATTTAATGCAATCTTCATCAAAATACCAATGACATTCTTCACTGAAATAGAAAAAAATAATTCTAAAATTTATGTGGTACTGCAAAAGGCCCAGAATAGCCAAAGTTATCTTAAGCAAAAAGAAGCAAATGAGAGGAATCACATTACCTGATTTAGGTTATACTATACAGCTATAGTAACTGAAACAGCATGGTACTAGAATAAAAACAGACAGATTGACTAATGGAACAGAACAGACAAAACAGAAATAAATCCACACATCCATAGTGAACTTTTCTTTGATAAAGGTGCCAAGAAAGGACAGTCACTTCAATAAATGGTGCTGGGAAAAGTGGATATCCATATGCAGAAGAATGAAATTAGATCCTTATCTCTCGCCATATACACAAATCACAATGGATTGAAGACTTAAGCCTTAGACTTGAAATTATGAAACTACTAAAAGAAAACATTGAGGGAACACTTCAGGAGTTTGGTCTGGGCAAGGATTCCTTGAGTAATACCCACAAAGCACAGGCAACCAAAGCAAAACTGTGCAAATGATATAATATCAAGCTAAAAAAACTTCTGTACAGCAAAAGAAACAGCATAATGTAGAAACAACTGACAGAATGGGAGAAAGTATTTACAAACTACCCGTATAACCAGGGATTAATAACTAGAATATATATGTATGCTTGTATCAAAACACTACATGTTCTGTGTAAAGATATGTAACTATTATATACCCCTAATAATTAAAAATAAAAGACCAACAAAACTAATTAATGGAATAAATTAATGGGACTTAATTAAATTAAAAAGCTTCTGAACAGCAGAGGAAATAATCAACGGAGCAAATAGACAGCCTATAGAATGGGAGAAAAAATTTACAAACTATTTAATATATATCTGAGAAAGGACTAATATCCAGAATCTACAAAGAACTCAACCAAATTAGCAAGGAAAAAATAAACAACCCTGTCAAAAAGTGGGCAAGAACAGAAGTTTTTCAAAAGAAGATAGACAAATGGCCAATAAACATGAAAAAAATGCACAACATAACTAATCATCAGGGAAATGCAAATTAAAACTACAAAAATACACCACCTTAGCCCTGTCAGAATGGCTGTTGTCAAAAAGTCAGAAAACAATAGATGCTGTCATGGATGCAGAGAGAAAGGAACACTTATACACTGTCGGTGGGACTCAAATTAGTACAACCTCTATCGAGAACAATATGAAGATTCCTCAAAGAAATGTAGACTTACCATTGATCCAGCAATCCCTCTACTGTGTATCTACCCAAAGGGAAAAAAAAAGCATTTTATCAAAAAGATATTTGAATACTTATTGCTGTAAGATTCACAATTGCAAGGGTGTGGAATCAACCTAAGTGCCCATCAATTCATAAATGGATAAAGAAAATGTGACTCTCACACACACACACACACACACAATGGAGTACTACTCAACCACAAAAAAGAATGAAATATTGTGATTTTCAGTAACTAGAACTGGAGACCATTATCCTAAACGAAGTATCTCAGGAATAGAAAAACAAACACCACATGTTCTCACTAAGAAGTGGGAGCTAAATGATGGGCACACATGGGCACAAAGAGATATAAGGGACATTGGATACCAGGAAGGGGTGAGTCTGGGAGGGGAGTGAGGAATGAAAACTTATCTATCAGGGGCAATGAGCAGTGTTCCGGTAATGAGCACACTAAAAGCCCTGACTTAAGCATTATACAAGGTATCCGTGTAACA